TAAGAGAGATGATTTTCTGTAGCAAAAAGCTATATAGCTTGCATGCCAATTAAAAAATTTACACTCCTTTTAAATGTGCAGTTTACCTTTACTGAATATATTGCTATCTCTTGTGAAAGTTTATCTATTTTGGTATGTGACTAACATACAGGATAAAATAATGCAAAAGGAATCCCAAAATTAATTGCTGTGGTACTTGGTGTTTGTAAAGTACTTTTTAAACAATAAAATACCTATAAGATACTATCTATACGTTAAATTCCACAGGTGAATATGTATGAATCTAAAATCTCTATTGTAAGCTTTATACAATAGCAATAAGGCTAGAATCTATATAACTATAAATATAGAATATACAGGCTAAGATATTGGCATATCATTCTCCATTATATAGTGAGCATAGTATTAATTTAAATACTGTCAAATTATTCCATCCAGATTAGAATTATCTATATTGCTTAGTTCCAGAAGTTGTGGAGAGTTGTAAACTTTCTCACTCATACCTAAGGATACTGTACATTTCATCTGGCACTATTTGACTGGAAATTTATGCTCTTTTTCTAACTCTGTTCAACTTACATTTAACATTTTTAGTAAGATGGGAAAGGCATTTTACATAATTGATTACCATTTCATCTTTTTGAATCACATCATCAATTATCAGTTTACATCAGATTATCACTAATGTAACTGTTGGGCTGTGAGATGACTGTCTTGTTGTATTAGCATTTCCAAAACCTATATTTTAATGAATTTCTCCCTGAGGTCCTTATAGCTTTGCTCCTTCTGTCACTGAGGAAAACTTAAAAATCCAGGTTCTCCCAACTTGGCCTGAGCCAAGGGTGATTTATGATCTTATATGTATTTACATATATGTAACTACATTGTATCAAGGAATAACATAACAATTAAAATACACACAATACATATATGTATTTACATGTATGTATTTTAATTTTTACAGTATTTCCCTGATTCAATAGTTATTTTAATCTGTTAATTTATTTTAATCTGTTTAATGTTTCATGATTACTTTTAAATATTTGCATGTATTGCCTTGAATTTCTCATGCTGAAGTGACCTGATGAATAATAATAATAATAATAATAGCAGCAGCGGCAGCTGCTCTACAGTTAATCCAGTCCTAAGTTTTAATGTTTAAACACAATACATTAATTTGTGAAGTAATGAGGGTACAGGCTGATTCTATCTCATATAGATAACCCAGTTGTTTTAAATTTGAATTCTCTTCTCTACAGCAACATAAAAGAACTAGGAATTCTAACAAGTTATTGCCACAGTTAGAAATCTCTTGTTTGAATTGCTGGAGCCAGCCTATCAGTTGCACAACAGCTACCAGAATGGAATGGATAGCTAATTGCATTTTAAAATTCAGAATATGATAATACTGCTTAATGCAGTGGTCTTACGTTTTTTTTTAAAAAACCCGACTGATAAGCTGCTAAATATTTGCAAAGAAAAAAACAAGAGAATTAATGAGTTATATTATTCTTCTACATGTTCAAAAGATAAAGATTATCTCCATACATGGAGTAAAATAAGTATTTTTTATTGAAATATAAAACAATGCATAGCATTTATAGTACTTTCTTTTGTAGTAAATCAAATGTTATTAAGTAAATGAAATAGATCTTTCCTCAATTTTGGGTTATTTTAATGGGCGGGGTGATGGCGGTAAAAGAAAAATTCCACTCCTCAACCCCAAATAATCGGCAGCTTTTCCCATTGTTGATGGCATGCAACTTGATAGTAAAGATTGGGTCTCCTCTCATAGCTCCTTCACCTGATAAAAAGAAAAAAACCTCTGCAGTCTTTTCTTGCTTCATTCCAATCAAACAGAACATTGAAAAAAGTTTCAACTTTGCAACTCTGTCCGAGGGTCTGTCCATCAGTAGGGTAGAACAGCAGCAAAATTGGTATGGGGAGAGGAACTAGTAGAACAATTAAGTACAAAAATGGGCTGGATTTGACTGGGGGCTACAGCAAAATACATTCCATAACACCTCCCCCTCTTGTGTCTCCCACAATTGGGTAGTAGCTTGGAATGCTCCGCTATAAGAAGTCCTGTCCTGATTGCTGTTCAGTACACATAAACATAGATGCAACATGAAGTGAGAGCAGAAAGACATGAATGTAGAGATGCATCTGTCTGACTAGCTGTCTGACTAGTTGCCCATCTACCCACTGTATGTAATGGCTGCCTGACAATATACAAAACCAGGCCACATATATGTAGTCATTCTAAATAGACCTTTTTCATGCGCACCCAGGCAATGCATATGCGTCCATTCTGATTGGACCCTGAGAGAGACACAAATAGATGCAATATGTACTTATGAGGAGAAACATACATGTATCATGTTACTTTGTTACATAGAAAAAAAAGTCAGGTGACACCTCTGGAAGTTGGAAAGAATTCCAAACAACATGATTTCCCTGTTTTTCTTCCTCCTTCCTTTTTAAACAGGAAAATAATTGCAACCAAAAGAGGGAAGTTACTAGAATTGGTGGGGCCAAATACCTGTTTTTAAATTTTTATTTTGCATTTTGGGATGGGCTTTTGTTGAATTTTATTAGGAGTCCAATAGTTAATAGGAAAAATTGGCTGGGACCATAAAAGGTGCAGTAGGTTCAATTTGCCCAATAAAACACCAACATGCAAGAACACATCAATCCTCCCCCCCCCCCAAATTTTGTTCCTGCCTTTTCTGAGAGCTGTAAAGAACCACACGGCACTCTTGTTCTATATATCAACAGCTAAAACAGGACATGATTTAGTTTTGTGAAGTTTTTAGGTATAGAATGCATTCCTGCTCCTCTTTTTATTTTGCATATGTAATGGTTTTGCATATGTAATGGGAAACCCCCTCAGTGTAAACATTCCTGTTCTGCCCATTTTCTTTTTTCTTTTGCTAATTTTTAAAGAATTGACCAAAATCTAACAGCAATGACTCAAAAAGCTTTTCTCCTCCTTGCTAACCTGAACTACTCCTTAATGCTGCCTCTTCCTCCTCTTTCAACATAGCCCCTGCCAGTTCTGCTGGCACTTCTCCTCTTCCTGCTACTTCTGCCTCTGCTTCCGCCCCTCTCACTCCTGCCACTGTCCCATCCTCTGCTACCCCAGATGTTGCTGCTGCTGCTGCAGGGGTTCAGCCCCTTGCTGATGGCTTCACTTCTCCAACTCCCCCTGCTGCCTCTTCCAATCCCTCTTCAGGTGAGTTTCTGCTGCTGATTGCTGGCAACTGAAAAGTGCAATTCCTGCCTAAAGCTGATCAGATGTTTTGAGCTTTTAGATCACGGGTGTCAAACACGCCGCGTCACGTGACATGTCGTGATGTATCACAACTTTTTTTGCATTGCCGCAGCTGGGGTGGGCACGGTCTCTGTATGATGCAACCGGCCTGCGGGCCAGCAGTTTGACACCCCTGTTTTAGATGGATATTTCCATTATTTCTTTTTTCCTTCTTGAGTGAGGAAAATGCCTTTTCCCCTAGAACCATATCAGATTGAAGTTGGTTCATTTTGGAGCTAGTGGCTTTCATTTTCCTGATGTTCTGGACAAAATTAGAAAAATGGAAGCTACAATCAACCAAGATGCATTTTGCCAGATTAATTCTGTGAATATCAAACTCTGGGATGTGCTCTAGTCTAGTTCTAGTGCTAATCAATTTATCTACAGTTTTATTTCTTAACTTCATATAGTACAGCTTCTGATATCAGCTTGGCTTATTGCATTCCTTCATAAGAAGTACATAGGTCTGAAGTGAAAATAAACCTTCCACATGTACTAAAGCACAATTAGGCCATATGAAATTGATGTGTTTTAAATTATAGCTCCTAGAAACTCTCATCAATTTTGGATTTGTTTTTCTTCCATTCAATATTGTCTGATTCTCAGAGACTGCCTGGGCTTAATCCCTGCAATTTTCTTGGCAGCATTTCAGAAGAGATTTGCCATTGCCTCCTTCCTAGGGCTGAGAACAAGTGACTAGCCCAAGATCACCAGACTGGCTTTGTGCTAGTGTGGGACTAGAATACATGGTCTCCCAGTTTCTAGCCAGGTGCCTTACACCAGACTGGCTCTCATTCTGCGTTACAGTACATTATATTTGTTCTGTTAACTGTTCTAACAACTGCTCATGATCACATATTTATATAAAACAAGCTGAAAATATTTAAGATCAAATCTCTCACAAGATTTGGAATGGTAATGCTGAATGAACACCAATAGTTTTACAGTTGGCAATATTTTGTCATTTAAAAAAAAATAGTTTCGGCAATCAACCAAGAGAATATTTCCAAGTCCCAGGAGCCACCAGGTCCTGTGACCACCGGTTCCAATTCATTGCCCTTGATTTTACCTTGGTCCTGCCTTTGAAATATTGAGCCAAGTAAGCTCAAGCTGGTCAATAATAAGATTGTGGATGCAAGAGCTGTGCATGCAAATGCATGCAAAAACAATTGGGGAGAGTCCAGGCATGAAAAATTCAGCATTCTGTAATTAGTGAAGCCCATTCATACTTGAGCAGTACCAAATGCTTAACAACGCAGTATCTAACATGAGATTCTTCTGCATTCTGACTCTTTACATTTTCACTGAGGAGCACTGTGGCTAAAAGTGTAGAGAATGTAGATATTCAGTTCATATTAACTCATTCACATATTCTGGTTATTAAGTAATTAACTTACATGTTATGTATGTATTATATTGAAAGGCTGATTTCCAGATAATCAATCAAGTTATGTACAGTACTTTCATATTTAGCCAAATTTTTTTCAGAGTCAAGAGAATCACCTCGTAGAATGTTTTCTTCTTAAATTTGTTTAATATACTTTTCATCCACATAGGATTTTTTTTTCCATTAGAGAAGCATATGTCCTTTTAAACACTTAATTTGAATTGCCATGCCTAAATTGAATTACTTCATCTAAAAATGCATTGCTCAAGGTTTTATATTTTTTCTAACCGGTCAAAATAGGTCATCCTGTTCAGTTCTACAGCATGAACAGACCTGCTACTCGGCACACACCTCCAACAATAGGGGGTTCCTTGCCATATAGGCGCCCTCCATCCATCACTTCACAGAACAGCCTTCAAAGCCAGGTCAACGGAGGACCATTTTATAGCCAGAATCCAGGTAAGATAGGCCCCTGCAGAATTCCCAGTTCTGATCCATTAAAGAAGAGTAGAAGAGAAGAGTATTAACCAGAAATAGCTGGATATGGTTAGCAAAAACCTGCTGTATATCATAGCACATAACTAAGTCCTTCCTTTAAATTTTCTAGTGTGTTTGTTAACACCAAGGAATTGGCAATGGAAACACCAGACCCAAAAGCTCACTTGCTTTAAGTGTCTTTTGACACAGTACATAAAGGCGTTATCGTAATGCCTCTATAATGCCTGAGTATAGAAAGGTATACTGTATATGTACAAGTACATACATGTTATGTTCAGATACATATACACCCCTCCTCCAAAACTTGGATGTACTTTTTAAAAATGTGAAGTAAGTTGCTTAGGTTTGGATACTTTCTTCTGCAAAAACTCTTGGTATTGAATATATTTGGTAGAATACTTTGTAAAATAAACTGCTGGAAGATAGTTGACATTTGGTATTCCTTTGTTGAGATACCATGGAAGGTACCCAGTAATGTATAATTAGTCATGTAATCCCAATTCAATTTATCCGAAGAAAATAATTAAAGTTGTTGCTTCCATTGATTGTAAACTTTCACAAATATAATTATTTTGATAAATGCGATTCAGGACTTAGCCAATGCAGTTAAATCTTCAGCCCTAAATTAATTTCGATTAAGTTAAGTGGAAATGAGTCAAGAGTCCATATTTATATCGAATTTATAAATATGGAAGAAAAAACATTTTGTCTTGGAAGCATTAATAATGTGACAATATTTCTATTTGTTACAGTAATATTGTGGGACATTTTATTTGCTATAATAAAATAAGTATGATTTGAATAGGGCTGTTTCAGGTATATTAATCTATAGATAGTCTAGATGTTTCCCAGAATTGTAAAAAAAAATTGTTACTTAAAAAAATTGGTTATCCATTTTCAAAATTCTGCACAATTAATATTACCTAGTTTTTAATTATCTAGTCACTCCATTGCATTTATTTTGTATTTATTTAGAAAATTTATATTGCCGCCTACTCGCACATGGCAGCGTTTAGTAAGATGCCACATTGTCTATCCAGTTATTTCATGTTTCAATACTATATTTCTGATTAGAGTCTATTTATTTCTATTCCTTCACTGCAGTGTCTCTTGCACCACCACCTCCCTCCATCCTACAGGTAACTCCTCAGTTACCGTTAATGGGATTTGTGGCCAGAGTTCAGGAAAACAGTAAGTTTGCCTTTTCATTGATCTGGGACTTAAGTAAAGATTTTTCAATTTTTGTTTCTTATCTTAAATTACCTGTATACACTAGCTTGATTGATCTTTGGGTAAGAGGCAATTTTGTATAGCTACATCACTCTATTCACTCCTGATCTGGTAGAGATTCCATGTTTAGATGTGTTGATCAGATTTATCTGGTAAATTCTGTCCAAATTTCAGGCAGCAGCTAAGACACAGGATGTGTTGCTCTAATCTTTTTTACTTCTGAAAATAAGGTAATTGCCTTTCTTCCCTGGCCTGTGTTAGAGCAAGCCCACCTTCTAGCTTTCAGATACTGCTTGTCAGGTGCAAAAGACCAGGACCACACCTGGAGGTCCAGTTAAAGTGATTTATTGCTAAAAAGCCTATGTGTGCACAGGAATCTTCTCCACTAATGATTAGCACATGCTTGGAGTTAGATAAGGGTCAACTGAATTGGGAGGGGGGAGGTTGGACTTAGTTCACTTGTGGCTATGTAGAGAACCCTCTTTTAACTCCACCCCCCCGGGTTCTGCTGCTCCTTTCCCTACAGTGCTGGGCGGTATATGATATATAATATCTGATGGATACCAAAATTATTTGATTATCCCCATTAAACATATTACATTAGAAGAAGGGAAGCAAAGGAGTCTTGCAAATTCTTTGCTATAACACAACCTATATAAATGCTATGTATATAGGTAGCCTTCATTATCTGTAGTTTTTATTATCCACACGTTTGTGTATCTGTGGTTTTGCTCATTATCAATGAAAGTTTTGAAGGATGAAGGAGCTTTTGCAGTATGTTCTGGAACACTGAATCAAGATGCTTTGTAATTCAAGGCCAGACAGATAACTCAGCAAAGATGATTATAAAACAAATATTTATTCAGGAATACTGGTAGAACTCACGTTTCAGTAGTTTCATCTGGATGTTACATATTTGTTCATCTTTGTAGGTAAAATCAGTAATTGCTCCATAATCAATTTAGCCTTGGTGTCCATGCGTGTGGCATGGTTGGTTCCTCATAAAGACAATAGGCACGAGCTGGCACGTAGCCAGGATATCCTGTGATGAACTTAGTAGCTCCTCCTACTAACTGGCTAACATGGGATTCACTGAATAGCTAAACTACATTACCCATAAGCCATCTCTTAAGGAGACAGCACTTAATCCTATAAATGCCCAACATTCTAACATACAGATCTATATGCTCTGGTCAGGGTTACATTGATCTAGCACACAGTATAATAGTAACATTATTTACTAGACATGTCTGTATTTCCACTTTGGGTTTCATGTGTAAAATAAACTGGACGAATATGTCCTGTTATTTATTATATTGTTATTTATATAAACTTTTAAGGCAGGAAACTTGAATATGTTTTTTTATTTTTATTTTTAAGTTTCAGACACACCTCCCCCTCCACCCCCAGTAGACGAAGCTGTTTTTGATGAATCTCCACCACCACCCCCTCCTCCAGAGGATTATGAAGAAGAAGAAGCAGCTGTGGTGGAATACAGCGATCCTTATGCCGAAGAGGATCCACCCTGGGCACCAAGGACCTATTTGGAGAAAGGTTAGTTTGTTGGAGTTGTAGGAAGGGTGGAAGTCTGTCTCCTTCCTTGGGTCTGAATTCAGTGCGATACATTATATCACACTTTTTATCCTGAGAGCTTGAGAGTCACAGGTTTTTTACATTTTGCCAAGTAATAGCACTAGAAGAATATTTTGCTCTCTTATGTGGTGTCCCAAAGTGTGACTTACAATGCGATCGTGAAATAAACTCGTTATTAGCCCTCTCCAACTCATTTTAAGCAAAATGTTACCGGCTCCTTTCCCCAAGAACCCAAACCTAGTCCAGATATGAATGTAGTTCAGACATTTAATTTTATGCACTCAGTTTTTCAAAATGTTTCCCTATATCAGTTACTAATAACTGTGATTGTATTCCATTTCACCCGTGTGTCCTGTGCAGTCTTTGACTTACATCAGCAATTACAATCAGAATTTCCATCACCAAGCAATGCAGTAATAAAGCATGACTGAATCTCTTAGTGATGCAGTCTGTACAATTCTGATTGCCATTGTTAATTGAAGTTCACAGTTGTTAGGTGAGGCAACTTCTTGTTGGTTTCTTACACCAAACCTAGTGGAGAAGCTGACAGGAAGTTGCAAGTCCTAGGCTGGCAGGCAAGTTGCTGCTGCTGGGGGTGGGCGGGAGCAGAGAGCAAGGAGGTATGTGGGGGTGCAGGGAGGGGGTCTGCAAGAGGTGCTGGTCAGGGAAAGTGTGAAGAGTGCATGAGAGGCTTTTTGCGCAGGTCAGTGAGGGTGTGATGGGCTGCCTGAGAGTTGGAGTGAATCAGATGCATGAGGTTGCACAAGAGTGAGATGTGAGAAGGATGCACGAGGGCATGCACGACACACAGATCCAAGAGGGTATGCATGGAGGTGCAAGTGGCATGATTGGCAAAGGGCTGGGGGCTGGTACACAGGTGAAGGGGGCTTAACCCAGTGATTTGCAACAGTCCCTGCTGGCTTCCCCTTTGACTTTCTGGAAAAGCTAGCAGGGAAGATCACAGATGGCGATTATATGAACACAGGGTACTTGGTGATCGACTGACTGTGTGGGTGTTGGTTTAGCCAGAACACTGACAATGAGTCATAACCACTGTCACTCAGTACTGTCATAACTTTGAACAATCGCTGAATGAATGGTCATAGTTCTATCTGTATAGTATCTTGGGTTTTTTGAGGGGAGGGAGTTGCTTTGATTCAGTGTTGACTCCTGGCTACTGATTGGACAACTCCGTGTAGCTTTCTTGGCAAGATTTCAGGAGTGGTGTGCCATTGCCTCATTATTAGAGCTGAAAGAGAGTGAGTGGCCCAAGATTACCCAACTGAAACTGTGCCTAAGATAGGATAGAACTTTGGTGTTTGGGCACAAGGCAACGAGGTTTTTGAAAAATTCTCCACTAAATCATTTTTGTGCTTGTCATTTTATTTTCAGCCATATGAGAAATGAATAGCATTCCATTAAGCCACCAAAGCATTGTTAGGAGTCCTGCACCACATACCCTGGAAAATCACTGTTAAAAGAAAGATGTACGGATTGAACTCCCACTTCTATTAGCAAAGAAAGCTTGTTGCTCCATCAGTGGACACTTTTGAGGAATCAGTCATTTAGTGTGTTATCTTTTTTTTTTCTAATTTAGTATTCCATCATTTTAGAATCAACCTGTCTACGTGTTTTACAATTTTGTGTTAACAGCTATTTTTGTAAATGGGAAGGGATTCTTGCATGACTAGCCAATAAAGAAAATGCCTACTTTTTGATACAAGAGACCACTTAAGTGAAAGCTGTAATTGCCTTGTGTCCAACTGCTTATTTGAAATGCTAATTTTGTTTTTCTTCTTGTTCCTAGTTGTGGCAATTTATGATTACAGTAAAGACAAGGAAGATGAACTTTCCTTTCAGGAAGGTGCCATCATCTACGTCATTAAGAAAAATGATGATGGGTGGTATGAAGGTGTGATGAATGGAGTAACTGGACTCTTCCCCGGAAACTACGTAGAGTCCATCATGCACTACTCAGAATGAAGACCACTATGGCAAGAGACAGAACCAAGAGATTGTTGGGCTGCCCAGGTCCCTTTGGCAGCTTGGGGGGCACCTGGGTACCTGAAGGAAGGATCATTGTAACAAAACCACTCCCCTTTCCTCCTTTTTATAAAATGGTGATTTGAATTGTTTTGAAGAATGGCTCTTCCATTTGCCAGCAGCGACCAATGACCAATATTAATGAGCTGACTGATCAACATGTAGATACAGAGATGTAATGAACTTGCCAGTAAAGGGATCCATTACTCAAATTGAGACCCATTCAATCAAAATATGGGATTTTTTTTCCCCTCAGGAATACCATGCCTGGTATTGGGGCATCTTGGATGTTAGCTCTGAAGGCTTTGTTAGGCTATCTGCCATCTCTTTCCCCCTCCTTATTCTGCACATATTACTGCTGGATGTGTGATATTGTAATGGCAAACATTCTGAGATCACACACCGACTGGGTCTCAGCTTGGTTCCTTGCATCTCTAATACAGCAATTCTGCAATTGTTTCACACATATAGCTTGATATAGGCTTTTAAGGAGCTGTTTCATTTCTTCTTACAGGAGGACGTAACATCAGAGATAATCTCCCAATATATTGAGACTTCCAAGTCATAAACTGGGCCTCTTTTATATCATTCAATTATTTTTAAAAAGTTGGACTAAAGATCATGAAGGATGATAAAGCTTGACATTCTAAAAATGGCCTCTGTCCTTCATATAATTATATAGCAGCCTTATTCAGCCCTCAGTATGCTAAATATTTATGAAATGGTTTAAACCTGCCCTCCTGATAGTGTTCAAAAACTGCTTTCAGTCAGGCTTTAGCCCTTGTTACAAAGGCTGACGGCAGTCTTCTAAAATTACTATTGCCTCGTGTTTTATAATTTGGGAGTTAGAAAGGGATATAAGTATTTTATAGAGAAAGGCTTATGTCTGAATTGATTAGCCTGTTTCAGTTGATTATAGCCTGTCCAACTCAGAATAAGTGTGTACTAGTGACATTGGCCATTTGTTCTATTTCAGATTTTGATACATACCATTCGGGACCTGTGAAAGCAGACATGTTGATTTCCAAGGGCTGTTGGTTTTCTTTGAATGCAGATTTAGAAACTGACAAAAGTGTACACTACTTTTTCTCCCACCAGTAAATGTGTGGGTGATTTTCGAACATGGGAATGGAAATCTGCTATAATGTCTGTAGGCATTTCAGCAACAAGCTAGAGGATATACAGAATATGTTTATTTTTGTTATCCAGAATCATGGAGCAATCATTCAGGCATGAAGTGAGGTGGGAAAGTGTGAACTCTTTTCTGTACTGTCGACCATAGTCCTTATGAAGCTTGCTTTTGCTTAGCTGCTGTTTTCATGCTGATAGCAGCTGAATTGGGGGGGATTACCCTGAAGGGTTTTGTATTAGCTCTGTGGTATATTGTGAGAAGTTAAGTTTACCTATATGCCACAATCCCAGCTCAATTTCTCACTGCTGATTAACATAATAAATGTTCCCCCAAATACATAGAATATAATATTTCTTTTTAAGACATTGCAAACACTTCATACTTCTTACTCTTAGTTGATTTGCTGGGTATATTGCTCAATATAATGTTTCAGTATTCATGTACTTGGAACACTGATTGTAGTAGTCAGCCTTCCTTTCTCACATAAGCTAGCCATAAATTTACTAACCATTTTCTGAATTATGCAGATTATGTTGGTATAGCTTCTGTGGCTTCCTCTGTTGCTTGTTTGTGCCATTAATAAACCTCAGGTGCTACCAAAAGTCATTAACTTAGCATCAATTGTTGTAGCTCCCATTAGTAGGACTGCTAATGAGATCCAGGTCCCTTCAAAGATTGCTATTTCAAAGCTTAAGACCCGCTGTGATAATGTTTATTGTCACTGGCATGCAAAAAACCAAGATGATCAAAGCTGCCTCCTCCTTTTTAATGGTGTCAATATTACAAGGTACGGAGGGGTGGGAGTTCAATTGCACCCTGTGCATTCTGTGACCATCAGTTTGCCTTTACTGGCACCCCACCTCCAACAGATTCCAGTGCTCATAGTATAGAATAAAGATCACTGAGGACTGGCTTGTTTGAAGGCATCCAGATTTGATTTGTGTAAGAGAGAAGGGTATCGCTGAAAGCTGGATGTATTTGTAGATGTTAGAGTACTGGAGCCAGCTTCTTGCATAAACACTAATTGAGAACATGAGTTATGAGAGCCTGATCTATTAGCACAAGGGGTGAATTTCTACAAAGGGCCAAGCATGATGGGTATGCATATAGATATTACTGTGTAATATCATATGTGTGGTGTTAAGGTGTACAGTCTTGAGACACAACCTATCATATGAAGATGGAAATGCAGCCTCCATCAATATGCTTGTTATAAGTGGCTGCCACTGTTCCATGGGGACCCAACTAAGAGAAGACTCTGCTCTGAGAAGTTAAAAGTGCAACTTTAATACTTGTTTGGAGCTTTGGAGTAGGATTCTGCTTCAAAGATCATTCATCAGTGGCATCCTGCTTTCTCCTGACTTTTGCAGAGCCTGCCAAGAGGATGAACAAAAGAGGTCAGGGGTTATGGCAAATTATTCTGGACAAATTTTGTGGACTACGTGGCTCAGTTCTGAAAAACTAAAGTTAACATTTGCCCGTTTAAACATATTCGGTGCCTGCAGGCTATGAACTGTGTTGCAAACAATTTCTTTAGAATGGAAAACTTGAGCAACAGCTGATTAGGAAAGCAGCATAACAATACAGCTTATTCAAATTTCCTCTCCCAATTTTTCATAGTCTGCTTTTTCTTGTCATTACTGATGCAGTTATTGTCTGGGATTGTGCTTTTTATGGTTTCATCAACTTCTGAAGAACGCATCCCCCCCCACCCACCCAACAATCTTATTTTCCTTTTTTCAGAAACAGGTTGCCTTAACAATCCTTCACATGTGATTTCTCTGCTGTTCTGGGAAATGTTACACTTGTTTTTGGTTGTAGAAAAGACTGGTGTTACTCCTGGAGCTCTGTTATTGAAAAGTCGGTAATGGGAATTCTTAACTCTGTCCCTTTGCAAGACCTAAACCACAACATTTTATTCCTAGAACAAATAGAAATTGGATGATGATTCTATGGCAGAACATAAATGAACCCTGACTATTTCCTGGCTATGAAAGGGAGGGTTGGAGAAGGTTTATGTTTTTATTGATAGCCTTTTTGTTTTCCTGTTTAAAAGTGCTTTCAGTATCACATGATTTTTATAAGATGTTACTCATTTGCTTGTTTGGGGAGAAACTGTACAGCTTCTATGGAGGGCAGGGTCACAGTTCCCTTATAAGAAATTGGAACTCTCTGATTGTATGACTGCTTCCTGTATCCTTCACAGGCCAAGATCATCTTCCTGCAAAGTTCTGCAGAGGGTGTTTACAGATTCCTTGCCTCCTGCTGGTTTAATGCTTTTATTCTGCAATACTAATGTTGTGAAAATAATCCTTGGATTTTATGCTTATTTTTTATTTTGTACAATTTTGAATTATGTAGAATGCCTATGGATGATGCTATGTACAAGGCCCAAAGTAATCAGACTCTGTGTGTATGTAATGTTACATAGACTGCATGTTATATCAAGACAGTGAGAGTGGTTTTTCAAATATCATTTACTATTTTTCCCAACTTACCTTTTTTTTCCCCCCACTGGTGTTTAATTAAGAAAAAGGGGTGAAGAGGAAGGGCCTGGATTTCTCCCTTGTACCTATCCTCTTTCCCTAGTCCTGCTGTAAAGCTATTAAATATGTTGAACATTCCACATTCTGTTTCAGTATCTTGTGGGGAAAAACAAGTAGTGGGGAGTCCAAAAAGAGCTCAGTGTCAATTTTTTTTTAGCTTTTCTTTTACCATAAAACGGCTTTGATTCCCTCAGCGCTCATTTTTCCAACCATGCAATTATGGCACATGAATCCATGTTCATGAACATTCTTCTGCTTCATTTAGAGAGCAACATTTGTTTGCTGTGGTACGAATTAGCAGCCCTTCAGCTTCATGTAGCTTCTCAACTTCCAGTTTGAGCCCCTACCGTTCTGAGACATGCTGTCAAAATTCAGAAGCCAAGTAGTTGAATTTAAGATGAGCTTTCCCCAAATTAAGGGTGGGAATCAATGGAAATGTAAAGGATGACAACCCTAATTCTTATCTTTCCGTCCTCAACATAAATGATTGGGGGAGATAATGTGGGGCCATGGCTGCATCGAGGGGGAGAAGAAGATTGCTCCTATAGCCTTCCAGAAGATTGGGAAGCTAAGCTTTGCTCAGAGCCTTTGAATATTACTGTCCTAGAGGAAAAGTGCTTTTTGTTTATCATACGAACAATATTTTGGTGCCTTCAGGCCTAAGGATTGTCCTTTTTAGGGGCTTTTTTTCCTTCAGTAAAAATTGAAAATCTTTTCCTCATTTGAGAACTGGCATCATAATATATAGGAGGAAGAGGCAAAGAATATGGTCCAGAGTCTTATATTGTTTGGCTGTTTTTGCTTTAATTTTACATTCTTTTATAAGAATGGCTTAGAGATGTTGCTTGTAGGTTTGTTACTTTACCTTGGTTAAATTGGCAACATTTGGGAAGGGACAAGGAGAATTTAATGAGAAAGGTGAATGTTCTAGGTGATCTCTAACAGATAAGACTTTTGTTGGGAGGGGTGGGAGGTCTAATCTTTGCAGATTGTGTTGTGGTTTTAGCTTTATTATTTTTGTAATTTATCCCTGATTTCTATGTGGAGTGAAAAGTGAGGAGTTAAACTTTTTCATGTAAGAACAAGGACTTAAAACGTGTTTCTGGTGTACAGGACTGTAGGCATGTTTTGCTAGAGAAAAATCAAAGGTATAGCTAGCTTAGATGGTTTTGAACCGCTCCAGAAGTTAAAATGTAAAGGAAATGAAGTGTGTTAAACTAGCAAGAATAGCATGTCTTCCAGTTTTGGGTTGTTGCAGCAGCCTTTGTTTATAGCAGTATTTGAAAATGTCATCAATGAAGGGGATGTTGAACTAGAAAGGATTAAATTAGCTATATAATGACAGATTTTTGAGCATCAAAACATACTCTGTAAGAGCTGATGTACCAATTAGAAATATATAGAAGTTCTCTG